CCCCCCCCCCCCCAATCTCTTTCAGTTTTTGGGGAATGAATGGCAACTATTTGGGGGCATGGGAAGAAGTTAAAGGGCGCATTCAGGGAGGGAGCTAAAATTGCTCCTGTCTCTTGGTTTCCCCATCTATCAAAATTACAAGTCTGCTTCTGTTTGCATGGGATCACTGTCTCAGCAGCATATCACCATTCTGGATGCTGTTTTGGTCATGCTTTGAGTGTTACGGAATGTTTGGGTGTGACTTATAGGGCACTTACACACACAGGCTGAATAGTGCACTTTCAATCCACATTCAGTGCACTTTAGTGATCGTTTGCAAGTGGATTTTGTTTCACACAGTAAAATCCATTTGCAAAGTGCACTGAAAGTGGATTGAAAGTACGTTATTCAGCATGTGTGAAAGCACTCATGCTTACTCTACTGGAAAGGCAAATTCAGTCAGTCCACTCATATAAATGGTAGTATCTATGCTAACATGTTAAAAATGTTTTCTTTTCAACAGATTGCTGCTAAAATTGGAGATATTCCCCACTTGAATAATTCCACACCCCTTGTGGATCCCTCAGTCTACGGTTACGGAGTACAAAAACGGCCCCTGGATGACGGAAGTAAGTTCCTTATTGGTCCCCCCCCCCCGGTGCTTTGGATGATATTTTTGTAGGAGATGGGAAAGACCACAGTCAGCCAGAGTCCCGAATGCAAAAGAACAGAATAGTTCTGGAATCCCAGATGACCGGTTAGCGGAGTAATGTTGTAGGCAGCAGTGATGCTTGGACTCTTGTCAGATGAGAACTCTTGTCAGATGAAACCTGATTATGGACCCTAGATTAACTGAAAGTGAAGTTCAGTGGAACATTTACTATTTATATAAAATATTTATATGCTGTCTCCATACAAGCAGTTGCAAGGCATCTTACGGCAGCAGGAAATTCTGAAAATAAACAGTAAAGCAGCAGGGTCACAGGATAGAAATCAGTGGAATCAGAATAAAAGGCAATGAAACAGTTTAAACCAGCATTAAATGAAACTGGGAAAAGAAACGTGGGATGGCGGTAGAGATGTGAGGGCCCGGAAAAATTAGGGGAAAAAACTTTTTTCCCGTTTTTTTCCTGAAGCCTTTTTTGTTCCCCCCCCCCCAAAACTTTGGTTTTTTTTCTGAAAAATTGGAATAATTGAAAAAAGAAAAGAAAGAAATTATTATGGAACGTTTTATTTTTACATGATGAATAAAATATTTTAGGACAAGGTGTTCAAATATTTTCCAAATCATTTCTAAAAAATATTGTATGGTATCAGATTGATCTTATTTCTGTGCACTGTGGACAAGCAAGTCCTAGGTTACAAACTGAACTCTCCAATTCAAGAACAAGATGCATTTCTATTGTCACAAGAAAAGAAAAAGGTTTCAGTTTTGTTTTTGCATGTGGGTGGGTATTCTGTTTGTAATAATTGTTTGGATACACTATATTTTTAATCTAGTTGTGATAATTTCACGCCAAGTAAAAATGTCCATAGATTTTATGTTTCTAAAGTAAGAGAATGACTTTCAATCTGGAAAAGAAAAAAGAAGTGCCAATGTAGCATTTTTTTCAAATTTTCCGAAGATTTCCATTTTCCCCGGGAAAAACCCGGGTTTTTTTCCGAGCTTCAAAATTTCGGGAAATTTTACATCTCTCATGGCGGTACAGCAACTCCAGGGTTTCCTGAATGACACAGCTGCCTTTGGCCCATTTCTGCCTTCAGGCCTGGATTTGGTACTGAGGCAGCTTTCGTTTGCCCTGGTGGATGGTCTTTGTTTATAGCTGGACAGGAGACAGTCTTCCCTGTTGATACCGTTGGATACCCTGTTGATACCGTAGCCTTTGATGCAGTTGACCACACACACCCTGGGGGAGTGTCCGGTCAGCCAGAAAAGAGTGAAACCCCCAAGGGGCTACGCTCTTAATACCTACTCCATGTATATATCTGAGGTTCCTGAATGAGATTGACTCGAGCTTTGGGATTGGGCATCATCAGTATGCAAATTATGCCCAGCTCTGTATTTCATTATCCAGACCTCCAGATGCATCCATCTTGGTTCTTAGCTGGTGCTTTGAGGCAGTGGTTAGGTGGCTACGGCAGAACAAGTGGAATCCAGATGGGACAACAGTAATGCTGGTTGGGAAGGCTGATATTGTGAAGGGACTGAATCCGCTTGTCCTAGATGGAGTAATGTTGGCTTTTTCAGAGCAGGTTAAAAGCTTGGGGGGGGGGTGCTGTTTTTGAAAAACAGGCTGACGTAGTGGCCAGGAGCACCTTCTATCAGCTGCTTCTGATTTGCCGCCTTTCTTGTTACCTAGACCCAGCTGATCTGGTCACATCGTCTATCAGCTGCTTCTGATTTGCCGCCTTGTTACCTAGACCCAACTGATCTGGTCACATCAATCCATGCTTCTGTAACCTCACAGTTGGATTACTGCAATATGCTCTACTTGGGGCCATCCTTGAAGACAGCCCAGAACTGCAGCTGGTCCAGAGTGCAGCAGCCAAACTGCTGTCAGGGACTAGTTGCCAGGAACAGATTGTCCATTTTGAAACAGCTTCACTGGCTGTTTCTGAGTTCAATTCAAGGTGCTAGTTACGACCTTTAAAGCCCTTCACGACCTAGGAGCCACATATTTGAAGGATTTCTCCTTCCATATGTCCCTGTGTGCTAACAACGGTTGTCAGGCAGCCATCTGTTGATTATCCCACCACTCAGGGTAGCCTGTCTGGCATCGACCAGAACCCAAGCCTTCTCTATCATGCTCTGTGAAATAGGCCCTCTTTTTGGAGGTATTCAGGAGGCAGTGCAAGGTCATCCTGTGTGCCAGGAGATCTGAGGGAGGTTGAACAACAGCCAGCTTTTCTGCGGGGGAGGGATTTGGGGCTTTTATTTTATCTTTGGTTTTAGTTGAGGGTGTGATTATCCACCCTGAACCAATAGGAAAGGTGGGATATAAGTGTCTTAATAAATTAAGTAAATAAAATTAAAGTAGCACAGTCTTATAAAGGGGAGGGTGAATCTGAAAGGCCCAGGAGAGTACAAGTGTCCTTGCCAGGCACCTGAAAGTTTATCGGATTAGTGCCTGGTTTACCATTGCTTGGGAGGAGAGGAGGGCTGTGAAGAGGCTGCAGTCCTGTGCAGTGTTAGGCATGCCTGACCTAGAAGAAGAAGAGATTGGATTTATACCCCGCCCTTTACTACCCGAAGGAGTCTCAGAGCGGCTTACAATCTCCTTTCCCTTCCCCTCCCCACAACAGGCACCCTGTGAGGTAGGTGGGGCTGAGAGAGCTCTCTCGAGAACTGCCCGTGAGAGAACAGCTCTGAGAGAACTTCTCACTGACCCAAGGTCATACCAGTAGCTGCATGTGAAGGAGTGGGGAATCAAATCCGGTTCCCCCAGAATAGAGTCTGTGCTCCTAACCACTACACCAAACTGGCTCTCAAACCGACCTACCTGTCTTTATCCCATAGCGTTTGGACAAATATATGTATGAAGCAGCACATGTGGACTGGCTGTTAAGCTCACTGAGCCTGCTTTTGTAGGCTGTGCGCCTGAAAAATGGGAAGTCTTTTGGAGTTGGTGCTGTAGTTCCCCATCTGCCCAAGCAGCTACTGTACCAGTTCATGCTTAAGGCAGAAGGCAGCAGAGAACCTTAAAATGTATTCTGTCTTCCTGTTGAGGTGGCATGCTGTTTGTCACCTGTTTTTTTTTTCTCTCTGCAAGTAATCTATGGCATGGTTTGGGCTCACGTGATCTGTGGAAGGGAAGCTGCTGGAGCTTGCAGACAGATCAAGTGGGATTCTTTTTACTTTCTGTGCAGGATGGCTGCTTGGTGCATCGCCATGTGGGAGCTTGAAAAGCAGGCATTGAGGGAAAGGTGGTGAGGCAGCTGATGAGCATGGACGGCTTCAAAAGGGAATTAGATAAGCATATGGAACAGAGGTCCATCAGTGGCTATTAGCTACAAGGTATAGATAGGGACTCTGGGGCAAGTGATGCTCTGTCATCTTGGTGCTTTGGGGGGGGGGGTCAACAGTGGGAGGGCTTCTAATGTCCTGGCTTCACTGGTGGACCTCCTGATGGCACTGGTATTTCTGGCCACTGGGTGATACAGAGTGTTGGACTGGGTGGGCCTTTGGCCTGATCCAACAGTGGCATCTCTTACGTTCTTATGAGGGGCAAAGAGCTGAGAACAATGAATAAGCCCCACATAAACTGTTTAGTACTCTTTCAAGGGAAGGAGGATGCTCTGATACGCTTGGGTTCTGCTTCTTGCTGGAGGCAGGAAATTGATTGCACTTTCCATCTCCGTGGGGGGGGGGAGCCCACTCTCAGGTTTTTTTCCTGCCTCCACCCGAGAGAGCAGTGGATTTAGAGAGCTCCTGAGATTTTCCTTTAAGGAGCTCCTTTGGTTGCACTTCGTTTTTCTCTTCCCAGGTGTGTTCCTTTCTGTGTGCCCCTTTACCTTTGTTTAAAAAACAAACTTTGGTCTTCTGGCCTCATCTTCCCCAAGGCTGTTTGCCTTTTGCCTGCTGCTTCAGGCATGGTGGTGTCTGCAGCTGAGGTCTCTGACCATGGGACCCCTTCCGAGGGAGGTGATCTCCCGGCAGCAGAGCAGGAAATCCCTGCAAACCTGTTTGCCCAGCCATCCCACTGCGGCAGAGCTCCTGGAGAGAGCCATAGGCTTGCCTGGCTTGGAGCCTGAAGAAGCCGGCTCAATTTTGGGTGCCAAAACTGCACCCTCTATTGGTTACCCAGGATGGCCTGTATCGACCCATCAAGCCTGCTCAGTGCTGCTGTAGGAGCTGAAGGGGGGAAGTGGGGCCGGGCTATGTTGTCCCACTAGACTTCTAGGACTAGCTAGAACAATTTGTCTCCAGTCAGTCAAAGAAGAAGAAGAAGAGATTGGATTTATACCCCACCCTTCACTGTAAAAGCAGTTAGGAGCAATTATTCAAATTTCTCAGACTACAGATCTGAAGAGAGGGATTCCCCCTTAGGCTCTGAGGATTCTGATGCAGATCTGGATAAAGAGGAAGGCCCAGTTGTCTGAGGATGGAAGTCCCTCAACAGAGCAAGCCAACTCCCCGCCTTTTTTCTCACAAGAAGCTTCCCGCTCTCGTCCATAAAGCATTTTTAAAAAAGGAGGAACAGGATGATGATAGTGACGATCAACGGGCCCCTGAGGTTTTCTCTAGGGTTAGAGAGCTGAGTTTAGCTTTTCCCTTCCTCTCCTTTTTAAAAACTGAGATAACAGAGGAATGGTCAGATCCTACCAGTAACCGTTTACCTTCTGGACGTTTACCAAGGTAACCAGCTTACTGAAGGTTCCAGGGGTAGATGCTCCTGTGGCTAGCTTAGTATTGGGGTGGCTCTTCCAAAAGAGGGAGAGTGCACCCTTGAAGATCCCAGTGATAGCAAAGGTGACTCAGCTTTCCACAGAGCCCATGGACAGTCTGGAGAGGGCAGCAGCCTTTGATGCTAGCCGGGGCACGGTCAGGTTCTCAGCAAGGGCCATGGCTTCCACAGTGGTGGCCAGAAGACGTCGCTGGCTCAAGTCCTGGAATGTGGACTCCATTTCT